CCCCAAAACCCCAAAACCCCAAAACCCCTGAGTCAAATCTCTACTTGAATCTCACCCAAAAGAATAGATTAGCTATTACTCTTTCTTGAGTTCTAAATCATCCACTGGTAAAACAGTAAAGCCCAGTGAGGCAATGGAAGAGTCACCTTCTTTTGAACTGGGAGAGCAAGTGGAAGCGTCTTCGTTGATGCTAGGGAGCAGAGGTTCTGCGGTTGGTCTGTAGAGATTGGGGGTGAGGGGGTGATGGGATGGAGTCTAAGGAGGGATTGATAGGTGGTGTTGGAGTGGGAAGGGGGTTGGATGGGATGGAGAAGGCAGTTGACGTTGATGGGGTGTTGGGGTGAGAAGGATGGTTTTTGGGACTGGATAGGGATTTAGAGGGTTTGGAGTTAGGGGTTTGATTTGTTGAGGTTTGAGTGTGGCCGTCAGCAGTTGGTTGGGAAGTGGACTGAGGATCTGGATGATCATGATTACTGTTGATAGTGGTTTGAGGAGGCAGATTATTTCTTTCAACAGCCTCTTTATACCCACTGCAATGAAGCTGAATACAAAGAGTCCCATCACTACTAAGCCCCCAACAATCCAGAAAGAAACTCCCTTCCCATCTATAGATTCATCATCCTCCATCAAGATAAACCTGAAGTCCATTTTATTCCTGGGCGTATGTGGAATGACCACAAGATACTAACCCCACAAAAACTCATGCATCTCACTCTCAATATCCCAAAGGCCTTCCTAAAACTCCATTTCAGCCCTTTTTCTCTTCTAGACCACCCTTGACCCTCCTTACACTGAAAAATCTAGAACTGCCTGGTTACAGCTAGTTTTCTGAAATAAGAATACTTTCATTGGATTTTTAGAAATTTAGGGATTGTTTGGGTTAAGGGTCTTTAGAGTATAGTTTAGTCTGAGGAGTCACTAGGATTATTGAGATGTGATGTTTGGACCTTCTAGAAGTGGGTGAGGGAGTGGAGGTGAAGTTTTAGTTTGGGGTAATAGGAAAATAGTTTTATGAAGTCTGGAGTATTTTAAACGAGTCGGATCTGATAGATCATGAGTGTAGAAGCTTATTCTTACGTCTTGAAGGATAATCCTTTTAAAGAAAATACCTGGTTATACATGCCTCCATTTTTAATAGTCAAAATCTGAGCTTTCTTGAAAGAGAGATCTTTTTAGGTTGATGAACTCATATTCATCTGTGGCATAATCTGAGTAATCGGTGATTTCAGTGAAAACATCGCAGAGAAGATACTCTATCCTCAATAATGCTGCCCATTCTCCTTATCTTGTTCTTGATCAGTCATTAGAGTTGTGCATTGAGCATCAAATGAGCCTCCTCAATTCTCAGAGGTATCATCCATATCTCAGCAGTATCTTTTATTTACCTCAAAGGGGCTCTGCAGACCTTCTTATTGTTTGATACACAGCTAAAGCAGTGTCTTCCATCTTTGATAATCTTTTCTCAGATTGAAACAGTCATTATAATCCAGAGAAACAGGTATCTTTTCATAATCTTCAAAGATATTCAATAATTATAACTTTAAGGGGTTTTGGGGTTTTGGGGTTTTGGGGATGGGGTTTTGGGGTTTTGGGGTTTTGGGG